CCATGATCCCACTGTTTTTAGCTGCTACTGCTAAATGATAGTTGCCATACATGCGTTGACTAAATTGAATGTTGAACTGAATTGTTGGCTATAACAGTAAACATGTATGTTGTACGTGTGGTCTCTATGGTCTATTTATGGTGGCCACACACTAATATACTACCACAATCTAAAAAGAAAGGTGTAGTCTCATAGTGAATCAATTGAAGAAGTCTTCCCTGTGTAACTCGGGCGGTATTGTCATGGTAAACTGTTTTATTGTGTTGAGTAAATTGAAGGTGTATCCAACCTGGCTTGTCCCCATGTCCAAGCCTATCCATGTCAATTACCAAGGCCTAAGACAATATGTCTATTTGCTAATTATATTTCATACAAAGTGAGAAGAAAAAAACTAAAGTAAGTTAGTGTGTCCTTTCGACCTTTTTGGTTCAACAAGTATTGCACTGCAGAAAATCACAAGTTAGATGCCTTGTGTTTGCACACAAGCTAACAGTTAACAGCAAGTTACGTTCTTTATAGCCTATATCTTTTGATAACAGGGCAATTTCATTATCTCAAACATGACACAGTTTGATAAAATAAATAACATTTCATATATATATAAGATATGTATGGGAAGTAAGACATTTTCACTATAACATTTTACAGTAGACTATTGAGTCTTGCTAATATAACTTTTGTGTGTTTCCAATGCATGTGCTGTTTATTAGGTTGCTTCCATAGCACACTCAAGATAATTTAAGAACTAAACATAGCAGCTAATATTTGATTTAAATTATATGGGACCATATAAAACCACAAATAACTGATTAGCCTAATAATGAAATAGTGTCTAATAAAAGTTTGGCTAGTGTTTTGTTTTCCTCTTATCACTCCAGATACAATAGTGTTTAGCTAATGTGAGCTAAATTAACTGTACTGGAGGCTAAGAGAGGTTAAAATGTTCAAAATACAACATGGTACAACAGGTACCTTTGCAGGCCTTGTTAGAAGCCGTGCAGTTCCACTTTTATTGGAGCTAAGCTAACTGGTTCCCCCTGCTTCCACCCTGAAGCTAAGCTAGGCTTAATACACCCCAGACCTACAGTATCTCTAACAGAGAGGAAGTTGGTATTTATCCTCTCGTTGAACTCTGGAATAGAAAGCAAGTAAGTTAAAGGAAGTTGATTTCCTTACATGTGGGAGCATACCCTTTATATAGTCGTCTCAATGACACCATGTCTCTTTGATATTTTATGACACATTAGTTTATCTCCGTCACAATGTCAGCAATCATACCCTTGACAGCGGAGATGATAAACAGTGTGCAAAGACAGAACAGCAAAATCAGAAATGCGAAGTTCCTGCATGACACACATTAGTCCTGCATGATTGACACAAAATTCCATATGTCTGTGTATGTCTGTAGACAGTAGAGCGACATTTCATCAGCAAACACACACTCACCACACACACACACGCATACACAGGCAGCAGCCGAATGCAGGTCATGGACTCGGTCTCTGGTATTGTTATTGATCAGCTCAAGAGCTTATTGACAGCTTTGCTGGGCGAATAAAAAAGCTATTGCTCTGTATCTCTTACACTAACACACACTGATGCCAGCATAAATTATGAGCCAGCGTAGGGGGGGAAATGTATGCATGATTGTGTCAGTGGGTTGGTCAGTCAGCACACAGAAGTATCTTTTTCTCGATGCGTGTGTGAGTGTGTAGTATTATCCTCTATTGTTAATTGTCGGCCTGTAGCACAGTAAGCAGAGTTGTTCTGCAGAGGGCACTGATGCCAGGAGAATAGTGGGGAATGGTACAAGACAGACACAGGGCAGAGAGTTTATAAACCAATGATGCCTTATAATCCAGTCACGCATCTTATTACACGGTATACCACAATAAAAGCGGCAGTGGTAGAAGTACTCAAATCCTTTACTTGAGCTACTATACTGCAGTGTAATATTCCATTACAAGTAAAAGTCCTGCATGTAAGTACAGAAGTTGCATCAGCAAAATGTACATAGAGTCAAAGGACTTGTTCTGCAGAAAAAAATGCTTGTGTGAGTTTTATAGGTCTATTTTTATTATCATAGGTGAAATTCAGAGGCAAAGTCTCACTGTGTGCTGTGCTGTATACAATGTGTGACAATACAAGTTTATATTTTAATGTGTAAGGACGTTTTACTAGTTACTGTTTGATGTGGAGCTGACTTGTACTTCTTTATACATTAGTTGGTCTTTTATAACAATGAATCATATGTTATAAGCTGCTATCTGTCATGTAAATGTATAATTGTAGTGGAGTAAAAAAATATTTTCCTATGAAATGTATGAAGTAGAAATACAAATAAGAATACACTTTCCTTAATTGGCCATTAAGAGCTAATAACGGGGTGAATAAATCAAGGCTGGCCAGTTGGCAAAGAGCAATTAGAAATTACAACTGGTTTAGGACTTTGTGAATGCATGAACAAGCTCCAGTTCAAAAGAAAGCATTCTTATGTAATTATAATTCATCAAACACTCTTCTCTGAGCTGCTGAAAATTACAAACGTTGACAAGGGTGTTCTACCTTAATGAGAAAACTCTGTTTGTGAGGCAGCTTGAGAAACTCAGCCGTCCCTCTGTAAGCCACAGCTCAGATAAGTGTCAGGAAATAGATGAGATGGACAGTTGAGAGGGATGAAGAACAGTGTGGCTGTTAGACTAATGGACAGCCAGACAAAGGAGCATCTGCTGAGACGACGAGACTTTAATCTACAGAGAAGCAGAGGAAACTGAAATCTCCTACAGACCTGCTGAGGCGATTGTCACCAACCTCTCCTCTTTCCTTTCTTTATCGCATCCTTTTTTTAACAATACATCCCTTCTTTATCCACTCTATTCATACCTACTTACTCTGCTTTCACTTTATCCCGTACTCTTACATTAATATTTTTTTCTTCCTATACGTTCCTTCATTTCCTTTCCTTATTTGGGCTCCTGCCTTGCTAGTTTTCTCTTTATTTGCACTTTTTCTCACCCCAATATACTTCCATACATCCTCTTCTGCACTTTATTCTGTCATAACTTTCTTCCTTTCCCTAATTTGCCCCGCCCCCTTCCTCTTCCTTTGCCCCTTACACCATTCTCTTCTCCTCCTGCAATAAAGATGCACACAGAGGAAGAGCAAGAAGAAAATATCCCTAAAGACAGAGCTCAGTGTGCCAGGAGGAACCCAGATTAACAATAGTGACATTTTTATTATTTGTACAATAGAGACTTTAGTACATTATTCAAAACACTTCTTATATACTGAAAAAATGGTACGTCCCAAAGCCCAAAATGGCTCAAGTATAATCGCTGCACAGCATTTTTTCAATTTTATACATATATTATTTTTTGTAAAAACTGTATCTTAAATATTATTTACAGATAGCGTCTGCAAAATGCATTCTAAACACATGATATATTTTATATATACTTCTGCAATTACATGTCTCCGCAATAATACTCAAACTTAAAACTGGAAGGATTTCAACTTGCATGTGCAAATAAATAAATAAATAAATAAATAAATAGTTCTGTTAAATCATCACTAAAGTTTGTCCAACTTATAACTCGACAGCGGTTCTCTCTTCGGAGGTCAAAGTACTTTTTGTCACACAACAGAAAAAGCAGCATTCAAGTTGGGTAGGTGTAGGTACTGCAGAAAGCATGAGTACATTCACAATCAATATGAGTCATTTTAAATTTGATTTCATTCACAGCTATGTACAGTGACACCGTCCTCAGCATTTGTTCAGCTCTTATGTAGTTTAAACACATAGAAAATGACTGTTTTTATAGTCATATACATATATATATAATATATATTTGTATAACACAAATTCACAATTACAGTAGAAATACATTTTATACAGTTTTGGATAGTACATGTGTAGGTCTCCAAAGTCATACTGTGCGTACTTCCATCCATAACTTTGTTATAAGTGTCATTATTATAAAATATCACCATTTTTTTGAGCAAAGCTAAGGTATATCAATATATTTAGAAAGAATTACCTGAAACATGTAGTAAAAAATAATTATATTATCAAACCTTTTTCTCTGTCTTTGATATTTCAAACTCTAAATAGGGTTGGGTGGGTACCAGTGGTTAAGATCAAGTCTCTCAACCACAAGACTAAACTGCACCATTTTGTGTCCCTTATTTTGAATCAACTAAATTCTAACGCTTAATTAAGAGGGTCGACACAAAATGGGCACAGGATGACACTGTCGTGTCGAGTAAAAGCAAAGGACAGTGAAGGATGTTGTTTTGCTCTGGATGAACCATCAGATGTTAAACAGAACAAAACAAAACTCACTGTCATGAAATGTCTTCGAGACACGTGTTGCATTTACACAGAGACAGAAAATGAACCTCTTCTCTCTCTTTCCGTGGTCACTTCTGTCAAGTCGACTCAGTTTCTGAAGCATGACCATGGAGGTCAGATTATATAAGACTACATTTACACGGCTCCAGAAGCCTCTCATACAGTCTGTTTCTACATCCAAGTCTACATTGTTATTTTCGCTCCATATCCACATCTACTCGTGAACATTCACCAACCAAAGGTTGGCAAATCAAAATTTCCATGTACATCTAGTGTTAACTAGGATCTCCTCAGGTTACAAAAGTTACACTGAAATTTCAAGTGCAGCCAAAAGCGTTTGTGGCACAGATCAGATCTTTCCCTGATTGTCTAAAAGGGGACAATCTGTTTGATTGCAGATTTACCCCTTAGGACACTATTTTTATTGATTCTTGTCGGGACATTTCCCCATTTCTTTTTTCGCTTTCTGCAGGGAGGCCAGAGGTCAGGACATTTCAGCAGAGCGGATGCTTGCAGGCCAGGCCAAATGTTAAAAAACACTTTCCCTACCCACTCAAGCCACGCCGCTGCTCTCACTGTGTGCGGATCAGATCTGGGCCACAAAGTGGTAAAGCTCTGATGTTTTGGGCCTGTGTGTAAATACAACCAGGGAGGGGCAGAGGGTCCATATGGCACCAACTACAGAACATCAGTCTCACTGAAACTCAGTGGTATAATACAGCATGATTCTTCTACAAAGTAGAGAACTCTATAAGCCAATGGAAAATGGCTGGCTGAGAGTGACCAACAATATGAAAGCATGCTGTGGCTTTATCATACAACTCAAACAGCTGAAAAAAGGATGTAACATTGCTGTAACAACACTAGAAAACAGAACTTCAGAATATGTCACAGATATTATGAGTAATGTTACAGTGTGTGAGTGTGTGCGACTGGTTTTATTGTAGCAGTTGAATTGTAGAATCAGGCTAGAATATAGACAGGGCTTCATTATGGACAGAGCGCACCATTGCATATGTGTTGTGTGTGGGGCCACATATGTCTACTGTGTACATGTGTGTGTGTGTGTTTGCCTGTTAGCTCATGTGCATGGCAGTGTGTGTAAACATTAGCGTGATTTGCTCAATAGATGGCACTGTAGGACAAATTGGGCTCTGCTGAAAATCTCAATGGGCCGAGCATCAGTAGTATTGCTTTAGCTCTTATCAGTACACCTGTGCAAGCAACAGTTTAAAAAAAAAAAAAAACACAAATAAAACAAGAAGCAGTAATGAACTATCAACAGTGTTTTCTTTACAGGAAAAAAAAAAAATCAGTGGTATACTTATAGAAAATTGTCCATTTGGAGAAATAATCCCTGTATGTTTGTAAGAGAGAATTCAGAATGTGGTTTATCAACAATATTTATATTAATCATAAACGTTTAGAGCCGTCTGTCCAGGCCCCAAGGAGAGTGCAGCTCCAGAAAGCTGCAGCTCTATATATGTACACAAGGCAGAAAGTCTTAAGTTTTTCCTTTCTGTGCACTGGAGGCAAAAATACCTGCAGAACAGAAGACAGCAGAAAAGAATAAAAACACAAGACAGCGATAGAAAGAGAAGAACAGAACAGAAGATACAAGTCAAAAGAAGACAACAGAATAGAAGACAACAGAAAAGAGAACAATGCAAATGAAGAACACGGAATGTGAATCATGTGCTACACCAAAACAAACTAATAAATATCTAACATGGAAAGCAAAATAAAAGGCAGTGGAGAAAAGCTGAAATACAAAAAAAAACACTCTTCAAACTGATCAGATGACTGCCGAATTAACAACCACAAAATCCAAACTGCAGCAGCCCTGTAGGGACTCAAGGAGTCCTCTTGTTGTCTGTCCAGACGTCGATCAGGTCCCTGACCGCCGGGAGACAGAAGAGCCGATATGTTTCCTATGGTACATTTGGCACTAGTATTTGCCTTTGGTCCAGCAATAGGCAAATAAATGTCTGCGTGTTCCCCTAAAAAGGTAAAAAAAGGCGGCTCATATTTCAGTTCCAAAAGCCTGGGGTGGCATGGGATGGCGATGAGCAGAGTAGAGAAGCGTTGGTGTGTTTTGTTTTTGTTTGTTTGTTATAAAACTATTTTTTAGCAAGTGCTGCTGTCTCTCAGAACAAACATGTCCACCGTCCGCTGGAAACTCTTCAGCAGAGAGACGGCTGTCTCGTGCTCCATGTGTAAAAAACTATGTCCGTTAGCCTGCAAGGCAAACACGCAGCACAGTCAACAGCATGTGTGTGTGTGTGCATGTATGTATAGAGGTATGTGTACTGCAGTATTCCCATACATATGTCTATGTGCGTGTGTGTGTGTGTGTGTGTGGAAGGATGGAGGGTCACTGCCATCATTATCTCAGTAACACATCACTGTTGGGGAAAAGAGAGAGAAGAGGAGGAGCTACACAGTCATGCTGTAGAGAGAGAAGGGGTAAAGACAAAAAAGGGCTTTTAGATGAGTTCATCCAGCTAGACTGTACATCTGTGGAGAGAAGATGAAGGGGGAGGAGAGGGGGGAGTAAAACATGAAAGGAAGAGGGGGAAGTCAATCTGTCACGGTAAAGAGCTGGCATCTCATTTTGACCTCGCAGTACAATCCTCACGCTTCCTTTTGGACTTATAGCTCTAGCACTATACTTTGAAATAATAGCTACAGTAAATATAAATTAAGTCAGTGATTATGAATAATTTCTGTGTCGTGTTTATTGATTCAATTTGACTGATCTACATGGGAGGTGAAAATTGATCGCTTTTTGTTGCCCCTGGGAAAGTATCCCTGCAAGGTGAAACAATGAAATGAAACGCAATTTCAGCAAATAAAATGAATGTTTACTTGTAGTGCACCCATGTTTCTTTCATTATATTTCAGAGAAACAATCTACTCATCTCAAAAATAACATACTGTAATTCTTACTGTACAATGCAAAGCAGAAATGTTCCCTGTTTTTAGGCCCAAATCTTGTCCAAAGTCACTGTACTAGAATGAGAGTTACTTGACCTGGAAATATCTAAGTGGCAACTAATACTTGTAGTATAAAGAACGTCTTTATTGCCTTGTCATCGGGTTCATAAAAATCCATGAATGCCCCGTTTGCTGATATGTCAACAACTGGTGGTTTAACTTTTGTACTTTTTTTCCTTTCATGCTTGTTATACTTACTTACTTTACTTATGTTCTTCGTCATGTGTTTCATGATGAGCCCAATGACAGGTACAAGCAGAAACTCTTTGGTCTCACAATAAACTTGTGCCAGAAATCCCAACTCTGCTGCAATATCTAAGTGTAGCCATGATTAACACCGCAGTCCCACAGTTGGTACAACTGATTACGAAGCTTAAAGTTAGTTCAGCCTGGATTTCCTACAAAATGGCCTCCAAATAATTTCCTCAGTCTCATAGTAATAGTCATAATAATATAATAAACGACATATTGTTTTAGGCTGCTTCAATCCTCCTGTGATCTTTGGCTTTCGGGCTTTCTCTGGCTAATGATGGAAGAGAAAGAGGGTTTGGGGGGGGTCATGCCTGATTTCAGGATCAACAGGTACACACAGAGGCAGAACATGCAGGTGGGAAAATGCTAAAGTCTGACACAATCTAGATGGTGAGATAACAACCGCGGGTGAGTTCGTGATCACTGGCTCAATCACTGTGGCAAATCAGTGTTGTTGCGTCTCTATTGAATTCAGCTCGTGTGAGAAAATGTCCAGCTAACAGTGAGCAGGTAAAGAGTGCACAGCTTCCTACTGAATGCTCTGCCTCTGTGTTTATAAAACAGGGGAAGGCTTAGGGAGGGAGAGCGGGCAGGATGCGGCTGTTTCTGGCCCAGTTGATGACGTGCGAGAGGATGTTACCTGCAGTATCTTGTCTCCGGGCTGCAGGGCAGAGGCGGCGGGCCCGTCATGCTGTACCCTAGTAACAAAGATACCCTATAAGTCAAAATGATACACCGTTAGGACGACACAGGGACACGATGGTTTAGAATCTTTGCCTTTCTCATTCTCATTGCAATATCCACTCCCCAAAAAGAAAATTCACCTTACTGCCAAAGATATACAAGGCAGTTCACCAATGCATTCTCTTTGTTCTAAATTTAGAGAGGCATGTAATTCATGATGAAATAGAGTTGAGGTTTGGAGTACTGGGGTTTACTTACTTTCGGCATCTATCTTATAGTTTAGAGATGCTGAGTAAAACATTCCTCCCAAAAAGACATAGATTACACATGTCAAAATGGTTTATCAGCTATTTATACAGATAAGGACTTTGCATAGATTTCAGGTTAGAGGAGAGAGAAATGTATATATATATATATATATATATGGTAAAAGTATACTGTATAAAGAATAGGGCAAGAAGAATAGATGTGGGATGGGTACTGACTAGGGGGAAGAAGTAGGTAGCGGGAAGGGCAGAAGATATTTCATCCCCCATATTGTCCTTCAATAACCCAAGGCAGAGATTTTAAAAACACCAACATCTTTTCATGGAGAGCTGAAAGATGTTTTTGAACACAGAAAGTGTGGGACAATGCAGTTGTGTCGACTCAACGCGGTTCAACAGGTTGTGCACATGTTGAACAGTGACAAATAAAGTGAACAATACAACGCAGTAGTGAAAGTGCAGTGGCACCTTCATACCACGGTCTATGGGTGGATGCAAGAACAAACACATGTATTGCATGTTAGAGAGGTGTATGTGTTAGAAAGCATTTGTTTAGTTACTTTAGTCCTTTGTTTAGTCCTTTAGTTACCAGTTATGGTAGCACTGGCATGCATACAGTGAGCCTCATATATGTATACAATCAAATCATTTTGATTGTGTGGCTATGCCATGGTTTCATTTGTATGCAAAGTGGTGCATTTATGCAATGTTTGCTAACTTGTTGAACATACTTCAAACATGGCTTGTTATTTGGATCAGGTCAGTTCATTTTACTACTTTACTTCTCAGGTACTGAGAAAGTGGAATATGGAGCTCACTGTACAATACTAATATGTTTGTTAGCAGCTGAAAATTGTGTCGTGTTAGTCACAATAATTAAACAGTTAAACACACTAAGAAGCTGTTGCACACAAAGCTGCAGGGACCTGCAAAAACCTTCCTTTGAGAAAAATGTATTTATATTTCAGGACAGTATTGGGGATGGGGTTTTTTGCAGCTCAATAATAAGATAGATACATTTTCTTTAAAAGATGATAGTTAATAAGTACGTTATCGACAGCAGCTCAGTGTGCAAAGACAGCATATGTAGGAACAGAAAATTGGAGTTTCAAACGTGAATGACCGAGATCTGACAAAAAAAATCCATGTTCTGCTCCTTAAAACCCTGTCTTCTGATCTTAAACCGAGCCTGAGAAGATAATACATCAAAGCCCAGGATCCCACTCCTGTCAATACGGGAACTGAGTTACCGTCTCCGCTCGCTGAATCTTAATTAGCCAGAGGAGAAACTGACCCAGTGGCTTAGAGAGCCACAGCTTGTCTTTTAAGTCAAACTTAGTCAATAATCTTTGTCATTTCTTATTTTTTAGAAAGCTGGTAATGACCTGTGGCAGGTTTTAAGGACTTGAAAACGGTAATAAATCAGTGAGTCTGAAACAACTTTTCAGATACAATGTGATAAGGGAACTGTTTTGAGAATTGTGTTTTGTAAATTATCAATTTTTTGGAAAATAAAACACAAAGAACAGAAAACAAGGAGAGAAATATTTTGTTTGAAATTGAATGTGAATAATAGGTTTTCCAAATAATTTTAGATCAATCTTGATATAATGATTATTGTCAAATAATTTGTTGTTTACAGTAAAACAAAATGTAAATGTTATATATACTTGTATATATAAAAAAAGAATAAGTGTGTTCTTCTAGCCCAAATAAACGAATGGGTGCAAACAACAAGCTAACCACAAGGGGACGCCACAGTCCTGTTGCACAGCCGTGGCTGGAGTCGACTCCAGGGATCAAAACCACAGATGTATAATTTATCAGTCATGCTGTTTTGATTCACAGTCCTTTAAACTATTTAAACTCTGGCTCAATTTAGCCTTAAGTCTGCCCTTAATTTACATTCTAAGACAATGTAAACCGAATAATGTCAACTGTTTGACTAAGATAGTCACAAATATATATATGCAGAGAAAGAAACCAGAGTTCTCAGAAGTAGGTCAGAAAAGATGATAAAAACCAAAATCAAAGGATTCTGCATTTGTTTGAGCTAAAGCTGCTGACAAATCGGCCCTGGGTTGACAACCATTGAAAAAACAACATAAAAGCAACGTTCCACTGCTTCTGCAAGAATCCTCACGAGTGTGGATGGACGAAACAAGAGGGGCTTTAACAACAGAGGGCAAATATCTTCCACAGTTCATATCGCAGCACATTCAGGACATCTAAATGCACATTTCACAGTCGAACATTTACGTTGGAACCATACATACTCCCACTTGTTAACTGACATCACTGCAGATACCCGGGTGATCAGCAGGTGACTGACATTCACTGTCACGCTATGATGGTAAAGGTGAACATTTTACTCTAATGTGAAATATTGCAAAGTATTCTTCAATATCCATGAATCCGTATTCAAATGGATGGATCATTTATGTCTTAATCTAGACCTACAGTGTACCTTGCTCCTGTATAACTATACTCTATGTATAGTGTAATTACTTGACAAAATATGTCGGAGAATCACTTGAGAGCATTAATAATGGACAGAGCGCAGCTGGTGAAGCTTTATGGATACAAGTAGACATGGGAATGATTAAATAACTGTACGTGTCAGCATCTGAGTCACTACTTGTCTACTCAAAACTTAAGTTAAATGATGAAGTGACAGTTTTCTATATCATCAACCCCCGCCCCCGACTTAAATTAATTCACCATTTGTCACCATGGGCTGCACAGAGGCCGACTGTTTCAAAGCGCTCTTATTGTAGGCTTTCTATTTATAGACCAGCTGTCGCGTCAGTTCCTCAACATCTGACTAGCAGTCAGTAAAATCTGCCATGCTTTCCGTTCTGAGATCAGAGTGTTGAACATCTACCCACGGTGTCCCAGAACTAAAGCAGCCTTCCTAAAATAGCTGTCAGAGCTCCGTGAGCAGCCTCGCCTCCTTTAGACCGACTATAGCAGCATGTTTCTAGGACAGACTGCCATGTGCAGCAGGCCTGGGGGATCTGCAACCCCAACAGGCTCTCAGCACAGGCACACACTGACAGAAGCAGTCAAACCCTGAAGTCGAAATGATAAAAGAGTTTGGCATTTCTTATAATAAGACCTCATGTGTACATGTGGGCACAAATCTATTTCTAGATACTGAAATATTCAAGTTTGTTGCCACAACTTCATTTTCCAAGGTATCTAATAGTGATGAGCACACTGTAGACATGAACCAAACAAACTAGTAATATGCGGTATCAAATCATTCCTAATTATATAGTTTACCAAACTTAGGTATATTTTTACTGAAGTTTTCTATCCTGTTTGGTGATGGTAATAAGAATTTCTAATATTTCAAGAGGTTTAGTTGTAATATAGTTGATCAACAGTTTAGATTTCTTTTCCTCTTCAAATTCATGAACTTCGTTTAAACTGACGTTTTTCAGAAGTCTGTAGTTTAGGATCACAGACTCAAAGTTTAACCAAGTCAACTGCTGCCTCACAGACAGACGGACGGACCAAACATTGCGGTAACGGGCAGCAGTTTCCATGGCAACTCTGAGGTAAAGCCGGGGAGGCTGTGATTGGCTGGCAGGCCGGGTCGGGTCGTACCATGTCGGAGGGTTTGAAGGGGTTCCCCTGGCCGCTGATGCCACCAGAGATACTGAAACCAAGACCAGGGTTCTTCTCTATTCTCACACACAACTACAAAGAGATAGGAGGGGGAGAAAAAGAAAGACAGAAAAGAAAGAAAGACAAGTGACAGTGAAATACAAAGATCATACCAACTTCTACACAAGCACGGAGTGTGTCGACAAGATGTACAACGATGGAAGGGTGCTTTTGTGCAGTGTGTGACACGCTTTGGCAGCTATATTGGAGGTCCTCAGTTTCTCTGGCAGCCACAATCAAGCCACAAATATCGTTGTCAGAGTTTTTCTATTTGGCATAAAGAAAGTCGTCTCATACTAGGAAGTGAAAAACCAAACCCTGCAGGAAGATCAGCAGATCTGGGTGGTGTGAATGACTTCATGTTCCCACCTAAACTGGTACAGTGATGTCCATCTGTGAAATATCGGATTTAGAACTACGCCTCCGTGGCTTTTTCTAGACCCGCTTATTCTCACAAACTGTTGCAGTCAGGTGGCAAAAAAAGTACACCAACATGTCCCAGTTATGTTAATATCTAGTGTCCTTTAGCTGACAGCTTGTTGGCCTCATGTGGACCCTTAACATTCCACTTGATGTCCAGATCTGGCCAGTTAGTTAACAGTAACCACAACCGTCTCTGCAAACTTGGCTTGCTGGTTTGTTTTCCTACAAATCCATTTACATCTAGCATTATTTCTCACCAATGTTATTTTTTCTGTGCATGAGGCTTAAATAGTTTTACTGTTTTTATCTGTACCGTTTTATTAATACAAAACGGTAACTACACCCACACAATTGATATCCTTTATGTCCTTGTTATTCTGTATTTAGCATCATTTGAGCACAGCCCATTTTCAAACAGACCTCCAAGATAGTGTGGGACGTGGTTACTGAGGACAGACGGACGGACGGACGGACGGACAGACGGACGGACGTACGGACGGACGGACGGACAGACAGACAGCCGGACAGACGGACAGACGGACAGACAGATACCTGTTCCTGGAAACCATCTGTGCTCTTCTGGCCTTTAGTCTGCAGCAGGCAGCGAGCGCTCTGAGGCCGTGGGTTGGTGTGAGCCATGACAACCTGGTTGCTATGGACCATGCCCTGGTTGCTATGGACCATGCCCTGGTTGCTATGGACCATGCCCTGGTTGCTATGGACCATGCCCTGGTTGCCGTGGTACTGGGGGTTGGTGGCGGGCTGATGGGACGTGTGGGAGGAATGGGGGTTGTACTGGGGCTGGTTCCCAGACGGGGACAGGGCCATGGGCATGCCGGAGCCGGGGTAACCCTGTCCAGGAGCAGGATGGCCTGGACGGGGGAAAAACAGAAACGGGTAACACTCAGATAATACTATCTGTAACTGACTAATGTGCGGGCTGTTGATTTGAGACACATGGCAGACAAACTTCATTGGACAACTGCTTGGAACCCAAACAATTACATTTTCACAATATAACTCAAAGTGGTATCTTACTCCTTGTTCAACCCCAAAGTACATCTTTTCGGGCAACTAATTGAATTTATTACCATTTACCTTGAGACATGTTGCCTTGGTACTGCCCAGGCCCCCCAGAGGGGACCACGGACAAGGGCATGCCCGGTTGGTATTGGCCCCCTTTGTTCATCATGCCGTCGTAGCCCTGCTGTACGACTACCCGGTGAGGCGTAGTGGAGGAGGAGGAGGAAGAGGAAGTGACGATCATGGTGTTGTGTGACTGGTGCGAAGGGTTGTGCGAGTGGCCACTCTGTGGACAGCGGAGGGACAAGTTAGACACATTGAAAATTCTTCAGCACACAGACATGCTCACATCCACACCAGAGGAATGGTTATTGGAGAGATGCTTAGTCATTTGTATTTAAAAGACATTATCCGAAGTTCCTTTCTTCCTTCCAAGCCACAAGAACCCTACCATGTATAGGCTGGATAAAACACAGAAAACTAAGACTGAAAGGTTCACTGATCAGCTCTTACCTTTTTCATGAGGTTGTCAGGTGGGACGTCCCTCCTGCCAAGTGAGTAGGGAGCCCACTGGTTGCTCCCTGACAGCCCCTCCTGGTCATTATCCAGCATGGCCGCCTGCTGAGAGGGGGTCTGAGAGAGACACAATGACCGTTACTGAGAATGAACATTTACCTTTAACTCATGTATCAACCTTTGCCTGCCTGAGTTTCAGACATGTTTATATGGATGTTATGTGAGATTCTGTTGTTTTTATGGATGAATACCGTAGAACTGTAACAGCTAAGTAAATAGAAGGTGAAGTAATATATTGTGCAATGTTTCCACCAGTCAACATGGTGTGATGACTGATGCAGCTGATACATGCTGTATCAGAATAGAACGCTGTTTTTGTATTGAAACCTTCCTACACCGAGAGCTTCTCACTTAAAGCTCCTGAGAACTTGGCTTTATTTCTCTGCAGCAAAATAAATATGAATGATTAAATAAGCCAATAATTTAAAGGTAAAATATGTCCTTAGGTATTATTTATTAATATTTTACAGGACTGTGTGAGCGTGGTTTGATCAGATGTGATTGACCCACCAACTGTCATCAGATGCTGATTGAAATGTTGCTGAATCCTGATTGGTTCACACAAATATGTGACATCACTTTTGGGCCCCCGCCTATTTTAAACCAGTAAGAGCAGCAAAGACAAAAAAATAAATATTGAAATCTCTTCAGTGAAATAACGAAAACTGTTCGTCAGTAACCATGTGTTCAGATAGCAGCCTATTAGCCGCAGTAAGAACGATGTTTGAGAAAACAAGTTCTCAGGGCCTTTAAAGGTGTTCCCAGTTTAAAAGTATTTTTTGTATCAGGTGGCATAGTAGAAATGGTTGAATGTGGTGTTGACATGTAATGCCCAACAGCTCCACGTGTCAGACAACAAGTAGATCGATAGAATACAGTAGAGTGTTTTAGGATTGCGCAGACCAATGTTGGCGGGGCTGCTTCAATCCTTGTCATTTTGGGACCCTTGAAATATGGTAAAATGTCTTATAGCTGAGTCCAAACTCATGAAATATGATTCTTGGGACTTGAACGCCAAAATACCCAGTTCATCAATACTCACAGCTCGCGGTGGTAGTCAAGGTAATTATAATAATCTAAATTATAACAGCAACAATGCCACACACTTAAATAATAGTTGATGGTTGCTGTAGCTGGGTGAAGAGGCAGTAGCAGCTAGTAATTAGAGAAAATAGCTAGTGTGCAGTGATAACAGCAGTACCAGGGGTTACCAGTACCAGAGGGATACTCACAGCTTTAGCAGACGGAGGAGGAGGTAGTGGCAGCCAGCGGCCAGCAGGGGGCTCATGCTTAGTGTTATTGTAAAGATTAAAGTTCAAAGTGCTGCTGCGACCCTGGCCATGACCCCCGCCCTGACAGAGCATGCCCAGCGTGAGCGTGTTGTGCTTTAGGACACCACTCTGATTGGAGGAGACAACATCACATGACATGGGTGAATGCAGGGGGAGGGGTGCAGTGTGGCGATAACACACTGTGAGCTCCACACACAAATAAACATCCAACAATAACAATGATAAAACAACAACAACAACAACAGTGCAGAGTTGCTGAAAGCACAGAGAAATGTTAGCTTGTGATCGGTCAATACAGACAGAGAACATTGTGTCATACAGGCAACAACTGGTGGATCAATTCACTGTAGCAGTGTAGGTTTTCAAATTAGCTATGTAGTTACATGTGTGGATATTTAAACAAACAATTAGCCACATCCCTAATTGAAAACTGATAATGTTTTTCAATGTTTCATTTCAGCACCATCACACAGCTCTGTCCAAATGTCAAAGCCAACTTTTTTCATTATCTTGCTGAAAGTTAGATGAGAAGACAGCACTGTCATGTTTATACAGTAAATATGAAGCTGGAGTCCAGAGACAGAAAGACTAGAAAACAGGCAGCCTGGCTCCGTCCAAAGATAAATTAATATTCCAATGAGCACTTCTAAAGTTTTTAAAATGAAGGTGCATAAGATGTTTTCAAAAAACATTTTAAAATCATTCTCTTGGTGACTCCTCATTTGTTTAAAAAAAAAAAAAAAAAACTATTTTAAGAAGCGTCACGGGGTTCTTGTCACAAAGCAGATTTCGTTTTTTTGTATTTTTTAGGACATGTGATTTCTTCAGCGCATATCATTAGTGAGTGTGCAGTAGGTCAGGCTGACAGAGCGACAGTGTGAATGGGACACACATGCAGCCGGACACAAACCTGGTCAACCTTACAACACAGACTTACACAGATACAGACAGGGAGGGCTTCCGAATGCTGTGTGTGTGTGTGTGTGTGTGTGTGTTTGTGTGCATCTTCCTCTTCAGTGTCCCTGCGTTGGATTGACGTACCCTGTCCAATCGTTTGGCCTCTATGTGCCTAAGTAGCTGTTGCCTCCAATCGGCAGGCATCCTGGAGGTGATGTCGTCAGCCTTCAGTGGTACGCCAGGTCTTACTTTGATGGTGTCATCAGAGGGTTTCTCAGGGCAGGTTGCCAGAGTGTAGTCAGGGGGCATTTTCTCCAGCAGGGCAGCCATGGTGGGACGAGCTGACACTGGACGCGCCTAAGTACGAAAGATTCAAATTCTATTAAGACGATAAGAAAAAGTTGGACGCTGAGTTGAGTGAGACGCTAGCTAGTTTAATATTGTGTGGTTGTCGCGAGGGTTGAATGGAACGTGCGAATGCCAGGCAGATGAGCACAAAGACTGAAGTAATGCAAACACCGTTTACACAACAGGGGATGAACAATCCGACATTCACCTTCAGCCTGGTGCTTTGGTGAAATACAGCACGAAGAAGACCGCAGTCATAAGTGTTCAATATGAGTTTCCTAGTTTCCTGTGCCCTGTTCTTTTTATGCTGAAAGCTGACAGATGAGGTGCTTTGCCCATCTGATCAGCATGCAGCTGGTCACCTCTCCGTGACTATTTTTGGAAAGTCTGACTTGGGGCAAACCCAGAACATGCTGAAGGGATTATTTATGGGCTTAGGGGAATGCCGTGGGATCTAGGGGATATGGCTGAGGCAAAGGACACCTGCACTACTCCTTAGTCTGCTGCTGCAATGACCCAGACCCAGGTAATTGGAGGAAAGTGGATGGATAAAAATGTTTCCACTCAGTCAAATACATACCCTGCAATACCAAGTCCTCATACCTCTATAACAAATACTGTTTGTAAGACTGTTTGTCAGTACCTTACAAGTACAAGTATTTTTGGTAATTTCACTCATTTTTAGCCAACTAATCTACAAGGTAAAGGTGAGGGAAGGATGGTGGTCATGGTTATAAGAAACCAAAGTTTAGTTTAGTTGTTAGGAGGATGAAAGCCCCCGGTCTCTAATGTTTTGTACCTCAATCGTGTGATCCGGAAACACAGTATTGCTTTTTTTGCCTTTGTTGGTGTCTGGTGACTTTTGCAACAGTATTACTGTACGAGTACATTTATTAATCAGCAGATTAATCAATTCCGACAATAATTATTAGCTGCAGCCAGGCCTGGATTTCCACCATTTTAAGAGCAAAGTCACTTGGATTTTGGTGTGGTCCTTTTTTTTTGATGGCATTAAGGCCGAATGCCAGGCCACGATTTTAAGCCCACAGAAATAATTAACTTAACTTTAAGGGTTAAGGATTATTTCATTTTGAATACATAGTATAACTATCAGTGTATTTAAAGCTGTGTATTTCACAAAATAATTCATCAGTGTTTGCAAATACAAATATTTTTAAGTTGTTTAGTGTTATTTTCTTATTTCTTATCCTGTTTTACTGTAGTCTACAGCCAAAGTTAATACCGTTAAAAGACCGGTTATGATCTATTGCCCGGTTTTCTAGCGGTTCATACCAGGCTCAAAATCGAACCCACCACTGTTTATGTGCCCAGGTTTTCACTTGATGTGTAACAATTCAGAATCTCAACAAAAGACACTGGTGTCTAAAAACCGTATCAACAGGAAAGAGGCAGATGGGAGAACAACTAAATCAGCTGGGGCAGTGTGGGCAGGGTTATCAAGGCCCCTGTAGCCAGACAGTGACAGACAGACAGTCTACCTGGGATGCTCCATAAGTCTCAGTACTGTAGCTCCTGGCAGACAGGGGGCGGCGCTGAGTCAGGCTCTTGGTCGGATAACCAATCATGGGCTTCTTCTGTTCCTGGTAGGTGGGATAGTCGTCATCGTAGCGGCCGTTTCTCTTGTTGTGCATCATCTGGCTCTGGCTGTCGGCCATGTTGGTGAGAGCAGAGTGCTCCATGGGGGTGGAGTAGGCCAGAGCCCGACCATAAAGAGGGGGGTCCGCCTGAAGAGAGGAGAGTTTACAACTATCAGAGACCTCCACATTAAACCAAAAAGGACGATGTGGTGGATAGATATTTAACAGACAGCTTCAATAATGAATGTTTGCATGATATTATTCATTTGATTGAATTATTTTTGACAATTTTGAGACTAAAACAGACAGACACACACACACACACACACACACACACACACACACACACACAAAGAAGCATTATTTTTCAAACAACAGATGTCTTACCTGCTGTCTGTACTGAGCTTCCTGCAGCGCCTCCTGCTGGGCTTCATGGACTCTGCGGAACAAAGCGAGCTCTGTAGAGCTCACCAATGAATCTGCTCTCCTCAAAAACCCTGGCCGAGAGCGCTGTGCCGGGATCGGCTGCTGATGTTGGCTGGGCGGACCATCTTGGTTGATTGGCGATTGGGGGAAAGAAAACATCTCCAGCGGTGGATATGCACGATACCGAGGGCTCACCAACTCCTTGGGTAATGTTTTCCCTGGTTGACTGATGTACTCCAAGGCTTTCGATGACTGGTTGACATAATCGGGTGTATTGGGGAAGGGGGGAGGTACCCGTCGGTCCATGGTCACCTGATTGGTTAGAACGGTTACCAGTAAGTCCATGACAAGTTTTCAGGCATTTTTGTTGTCATACAACACTGATTTTAAGTGGATTTCTCTTAAAGATAGTTAAGATTAAAAATAATCTATAGAGTGACTTTAGGCATCTTGAAATCTAAATATCTTTTCATATGGCTGCAGTACAGTTTAACATGAACTACATGAAAGCTATTCAAAAAACAAAATGTAAAAGAATGATTACCAAATCAGCAGACATACACAGTTAGAGACAACTTGGTGAACATAGTGGAGAATTTAGTGGCTAAAGAGACATATTTCTTTGCTGTTGGAGACCAAAACCAGAACTAATAGAGAGTGAATATTGGACTGATATTCGCCAGGTTCCCAGAAACCAGACGCAAAATAAAACAATATTGCTCCATAACTGCTGGATGTGTAATAAGTAAATGTTCACTCACAAGCTCACCATAACACCAAAGGTGATGATACATCAAAATTGTATTTCCACAGGCCTCAAGTGGAAATAAGTTGTAAAAAGTAATTGCAGGTTAAAGAAAGAGCTACTAACCTGGGGGTTGTAGTTGTGGTCAAAGTGGTAGGCCTTGTGCGGGATGGCAGGTTTTTGGTTCTGTCCCGACTGGTTCTGGTTGCTGGCTCCGTGTCCTGGGAAGATCAGCTCATCGTCTAACATGGGGGCAGACTGTGACCGTGACATGGTGGTCTGCTCCATAGAACCGGGCATGTCTTGACGGTCCAAACTAGTCTGTTGCTCAATGGATGAACTGTAGCTGTCCACGGGTATACTGTAGAAAGAACAAGATAAATCAGCTACAACTTTGCAGTCACTTGACCCACTGACATGATCGACACTGCTATTGTTAAGAACAATAACAACAAGCCTACCTGTAGACCTTGTAGGAGCCAATGTCGATCTCATCGATGCTCTGTGACTTCTTAAACTTGGATCTCGTCTCCCTCATCATGGGGGACAGGCGGTCCGAGCTTTTACTCATCACCACGGTCACCTTATTGCCCCCGCTGACACTTAGCTGATCCTTCCTGTTCTGCTCCCCCTGATTCTCGTGGTACGTCCAGCTGCCGGGCAAAGGCCCTGCGCCTTGTTCCAGCCTTAGAGCAAAAAACAAGTGAAGTGTTGTACTTGTGAGAGCCAGAAAACTTACCTCGACTAGGGCAGAGTTACAACAGTAAAAAAGAAAAGATAAAGACAAGTGAAACAGTGGCATGATATCTGGAACACAGTTAGTGTTAATGAGATCAGAAAGGAAGAAGGGGTCCTGCAGCTTCATAACACCAGTGCACAAATATTATGCTAGCATATCTACAGGTTAACTACAGCCAACATCAGTTGGTTTATAATACAGCAGTCACTCCCCTCACAGTGTGACATTTGACACTATAGCTGCAGCAAACAGCTATTTTCATTACAGATGAATCTGTTAACTACTTTTTAGATTCATCCATTTATCATTCTAGACCATAAAACAAAAACAACAAGTATATAAAACTAAGGAAATCAGAAAATTGACAAATTTTGTGCTGTCTTGTGTTACCAGAAAAGCGGAGATATCCGCCTCCCGAACGTCTGGAGATTTCTAAATGCAAAGTTGATGCTAGAACAGCTGCAAGAATGGCTGCTAACAGACCTACGCCCCTTACGTGTCCTAGATTTGGATAGGCCAATGTTTGGCAACTTTGCTTGACAACAAGCATAAACGTTTGAGTTATTATCTGTTGATCAACTTTTTCATTAATCAACTGATTATTTGTCAAACACACATGATCAAATTATTACAGAGCACTGCATCTACTTACGTCATCTACTATATAAGCAAAGGAGTACGATGGATAGGCAGATCCACATACTGCTTTTTTTAACCAGAGAAAAGGGTTTAAATGCTGCTGTAACGGTTGGCTGAAATGAAAACCTGCAAACCCTGGGGGCCATGAAACCTTTCATATAAACACATACACATTTGAGGGCTAACTGTGGGACTGTCGGAACTCCTTTCAGTTACCTTGGGTCCTTGCGGTCAGGGTTGGGGCTAGAGCTAGGCGTCAGGTCCAGTTTGGAGGGAAAAGCGGTTCGGTCCTCCAGCGGGCTGGGGGTCCTGGTCCAGTTCTGCCAGGGATTCTGGGAAGGATGTCCTGACTGTGGGTCATTGTCCGGAGTGGAGCGTTGGTTGCCGTGGAAGGGGAGCGTCTGAGTGTCAAGCTCCAGAGGTACTCCTACAATTCGCTCCTGCCTGAGGAGGGGGCGGCGCCCATGTGTTGACTGGCTGCGGGGTTTGGAGCCCAGCGGCGGGTTTCCCTGACTCCCAGTAGAGGTCGGAGGATCCAGAGGAGACTCCTCGGGATCAAAACCTGTGTTGTCATAGTGAGGAGCCTCAGACCAATCAAAAGGCTCGCTCAGTGGGCGTCGATCGCCACGCTGCTGCAGGGTTCCTGATGGAGGGGTTTCTCTCTGAGATAGCAGGGGCTTGGAGTCAATGGGTTTGGGGAAAGACTGAGCCAGTCTGCAAACATAGAAAATATGAAACACTAATCATGCTGTGGAAAACTATAAAATGAACTGAATTATACTGAAGTGCCACAATTATACGAGTATATTTAATCAGAGCCAATGGGCATTGGAACAACATAACTTTATCTCGCTCTCTCTGGAAGATCAATTTGGCCAACAACCATGTTTGTGGTAATTAATGTTTCCAAGAGCAGCCTTGAACAGAAAACATTAATGCCTTCAACCTCCCTCACTGCCACTCACAGTTTGCAAATACCACACTTTTCACAAGTACACAGACAAAGAGACAAGCACACAGATTGTGATCTGTACATTACCCCAGGGCGTGTAAAATGACAACTTAAATGTCAAAAAATACCAAAGCGAGCTTTCACCCTGCGGGGGCTCCTTAGAACGAGGAGAGGCATGGGAAGAGTGAGGACGAGGAAATGATTGTTAACTTTATTATACACGTACTATTCCAGTGGAAAAGGTTACTGTTACTGTTCTATTCAAAAATGCACTAAATATCTGTTCAGACCCTGTGGTGTCAGAGAGGAAACCGAATAAACAAACAAGTATGGGACAAATCCAACATGTGCGTCGATAAATCTGAATCTTTAGATCCCTGGAAGAACTAATGTGAACGTCTACGTCTATCTACGTCTGCACCAACACGGACTATTAGAGCCAAAGTTGGGTTTAAGGTATAGGCCATAAGGTGAACTAAGAAAAAGTGTCTAGAAAGTGATTTTTGTTCCACAACCTGGAAATTACTTTTTAAATGTGTTTTTGCATAGACACTACCCTTATGGATTTTGTGTTAAAAGTTCTCCACAAAATATGCTGCAGTTTTTTGTCACAACCCATAAATGTAAATAAATGTGAATACAAAAAAACGAAAACCGTATATTGCTGATTTTGCTTGTAACTTAATATATATAAGTATTAGTATATAAATTATCAGAAAATATGCTTCAACTTTAAACTTACATATTGTAAATTTAGCATAAAAAAAAAAAAAAGACCGAGCCTCTTCATTTGATGATTTGTATGCGTCGGTGTAAATAAATTCCCGAGATTGTACTGAAGCCGAACTGGACAGCTCCTTATAAGTCTCTCTGACCTTGACTGAGCGAGCAGAGGGATGAGAAAGTCACAGAGAGATGGAGGAAGGAGAAGATGGATTGGGCGATTGGACAGATGGATGATAGATGAAGGAGATTGCCGGAGATTGGAGAGGGGTTGGAATGGAAAGAGGAGAATATATGATGGATGGTCGGTGGGATGTGATGAAATTTAAGATGAAGCAGTTACCTGTTGGTCCAGTGTGTTTGAGGGGCCTGGTCCTTGTTTAGGGCCGGAAGGGCGGGAGCATGTGGATGTGGTGCATGTGCGTGTGGGTGTGCGTGAGAGTGTGTGTGTGTGTGTGGGTGTTGGTGTTGGTGTTGGTGTTGGTGTGGGTGTTGGTGTGGGTGTGGGTGAGCGTTGCCGGGCGGGTTGGAGGAGCCGGAGGAGCCCTGTGAGGGAGAGTAGTCGGAGTAAGTGGCTGAGGAGCCGCTGTGGTTCAGACAGTGGAGCTTATCCACCTCTTCATCTGTAGACTCTGGACAGAGACAGAGAGAGACAGACAGCTCTGTTCAGTGAAAATGTCACATTCTCTTCTTCTGCTAAAGTGCCTTTGTGTCATCATGTCTGAAAAAAACCTGTAGTCTGTATCTTATTTGGATCTTTATCGTGATACCAAGTGATATTGTTTTCATTGATAGGGATCTAAGAATATGTTCCACACTTGAACAACACTGTTTTGGCCATATGTAAACCCACGGTGACAGTAGATTCTGTGATTAGCTGATTGATTTCTCTACGTATAAAGTGCACATCTTAGAAGAATGAACAGACTTGGCTCATCAAAGATAAATTAGCAATTCAAACAATCCTTAGTTGCAGCTCCAGATGTATTTTGTGTTTGTGTCTAATGTGCAGGTTGAAGGTTGAGGGGACAAAAGTGAAAAGTTCGTGAGTGAAGCTATTGTAGAACTAAGAAATCATCCTCACAGGAAAACCAACAGTTTTCACAAATTGAATCATATGTTAAAGATATCGACCCTTATTAAGACTAAGTAATCCTCCCAAATCCCAGCTCACCATTTGGATATTGACACTAAACTGTGAACTATGTTGCCAAAGCTTAAAAAGCTAATGAGACCTACTACAACCTCAGAAAGCCTTTCCAGAATTATGTTTAAGCTGAATTGCATTGAAGCCTGTATACTGCATCATACAGTACATGATGAGAAGTAGAAAAATCACATGTATTGTCATCTCTGTCTTAACCCACATTTCTGTAGTGCTCTCATTATATGTTTGGACATTATTGAGTCCACTGCACTGAAGCCTGGTAAGAAAACATGGGTTTAACAGTATTTAAAAGACCTTTAATTAACCACACTAGTTCCATTTAAATCAAGAAGCTCTTTTGAACTTGGAAAGAAAGCGTCATCAAAACAAAGACAACAGTTGTAGAAAGACGTACAGGACGGGCCGGTGGGCTCATGAGTCAAACCTATTAAGATCTTGACAAAACCAACCAAAGAAAGCTTCTTATTAACTTCCCCACAAGATCCTTCATTAAGAATTCACACTCACCAGGACAGACAAGCCGTTTGAGTTTTAATCATTTCACAGCAAGTTCCCTGACAAAGGAGTAGATTACATGACGCTCTGAGCTCTGAATTGGACAGAGCTGCAGTTCGTCACAGAGATAATAAACTATTTCGTTCAGTAGACGGGATTAATGCAGTAAATTATTTAAGAAAGAAAAAAAGGATTTTTGAAAGGGCAGTGAAATTAGCGTTGGGCTCATCTGTAAAACTTTGGTATACCTCAGATATAACTGAGGCCTTTGAGGCAAAACATATAAAAAGGGTCGAGCAAAAGGCTGAACACTTAGGACTGGAATCTAGATTCACTAAAGAGGTTTATGTCATTCCCTCCCGCTCTCTGTTATGTGCTGGAATTAATCCGCTTACCACCATGACTAATTAGTGGACACCATTACAACATGCCCCACAGCGCTTTACAATAGACCACATTAAATGACTGTGTCTACATGTATGTCTGCAAGCCTCTCTGTGTCGCTGCACACATACAGTACCTTTCTTGTCCTTCCCCAGCAGAACCACCTTTGGTTTGTACATCGGCGGCTCCACCAGGGTGGGCCTCATGTCGGAAATACGGATGTCGTTGGGAGAGCCGCCCATCGAGTCCTGTGGGGAGACAAAGCACACAGGTTCACATCAGGTATGCTGCAGTACAGTAAAACAGCCTTGGGCAGCCTAGCTAGGAGCCTGCGAGCTAATAGGCTAATGGCCACCAAGTTGTGGATGGTGAGCAGCAGCTGGAATCATTCACTCAAAAATTTAAGCTCATCAATTTTTTAACCTTATAAATATAATATCTCTGAAGCGGGACGCTGCTCGTCCTGTCAGTCTGTGAAACTAATGTCAGTTAAAGCTGTTGGAAAGCTGTGAACAATCTAATATAGAGGTCATAAGATATGCTTCGGAATTTTAATGTCTTGTCAGCTGAAGACATAAGTAAAAAATAGACACACATGAATATGCACATGCACATAAACTTTGATGTAAATACGTGCATATATCTTTTAAATGTCCAACTAATACACAACACAAAATTGAATATTTTGTTTAGGTATACATTTTATTGACATTGTCCATAATTTATTTCCCTGATAACTGTACAAATAAGAAAAGAGACATGGTGACTTCAAAAAATTATGAATATGGCTGTACAAGGTGACTTGAATTGGGTAAATGTATAACAACAAGCTAAAATCACCAAATGGGGCATGGAGCCACAATTCAGTTTGAATGTACTTTGTTGTGTGTGTGTGTGTGTGTGTGTGTGTGTGTGTGCGTGTGTATGCGTGTGTATGTGTGTGTGACAAACCTCTGAGCTCTCCGTCAGGTCCTCTTTGTCCTTCCTCTTGGGAATGTCAATGCCAGAGTTATGCATTGATCCCTGATCCATTAGCTGAGACTGAGAGAAGTCCTGCATCTCTCTGTCTGTCACCTGGAAAACACACACACAGATCATTTGTGATGTGTGTCTTATACACACCGATACACCTATATGTACTGTTTTTATGATATCGAACACATTTAAGTGTGCATCTGTGTGTTTCCTACCTCTTTCGGAGGCAGGGGCCACGGTGGTTCGTACTGTTCTTTGCTGAGGTGTGTGTGTTCCATGTTGGTTCCTGCCGAGGTGGCAGTGCCTGTGCTCAGCTGGTGCTGGTGCTGATGCGGATGCTGATGCTGGTGCTGGTGCTGGTGCTGGTGTTGGTGCTGGTGCTGGTGCCCGTGTCCGGGGTGTACGCTTTTACCCACAAGGCTTTGCACTGACTTGACCATGTTCTTAAGGTCCTCGGGGTAGGGTGTTGGGTAGCGTTTTAGGTTTATCTCCACCTGTACACAAACATGGAAATCAGTTGAGTAAATAAAGAATACACACTGAGCAAGCATTTGTTAGAATCATATATAGAAGTGTCGCCCCCTCCAATGCTGTGTTGGACATTATGCATATCAAACTGACCTTGACCTTCCCAGAGTTGTCTTCCTCTTCTTTCTTGTCATCAAAGTCAAAGGCCACAGTCATCCTCTGCTGTCTCTGCTCCTCCCACAGAGTAGGATTAAAGCTGTCACTGTCCGACTGGTAATCTGTACACACACACACACACACACACACACACACACACACACCAAGGACAAACTGCTCTTCAACAATAGGTCTACATGTTAGACACACTTCAGTTAATTCAATTCACGTGTACATTTACAAACACACAAATAACACATGCACACGTTCATGTTGCACATAACTTCAGAGCAAACAACATCCTATAATGTAACAAATGCTGTGCTTGTAATATTGCCAAGTGCAATAAAACAAATACAAAACATTCTGTGGCCTTTTTTACATGTCTACCCACACACATAAACATACCTACACACACACACACATACACACACACACACACACACACACACACACACACACAGTTTGTACCCTCATCATGTCGCGGTTGCTGAGGAAACATGTAGTTGGTCAAAACCTTCTGTTTGGTTTCAGGGTGGGCTTCTGTCTGCAGTGGGATCAGAGCCTTGGACTGCAAACACACACACACACACACACACACACACACACGATAACATTAGTATTCTTGAGGGTACGTCCACTGACCACATGTATTCCCCAATTCCTAATCTAAACCTAATCCTACTTTTGAAAAACAAAAAGATGGTTATGACAATATCCGATTGATTACAGGAAACTTCTGTTTATTCAGAGCTTGACATTCACACAAAACATTCATTTGAATATCAATTTTGCTAACATTGATGCAGACATAAAGTTTAACAGCCCTGTTGCCAGGAAAAAAATGTTGGCATTGTGCATTTTTGCAAACCACAGATTTGCTTAATGTTGACATTTTTGCATTCAGTCTGAGCAAGTGACAACGAGTGGCGCGCAGAGCGAATGCCGTAGTACATGGAGCGACTGTTATTGAAAGTTTGGTGGTACAATGGCGAGTCAGTCGTCCACTAAGGGTGTGGGAGGGGTGGTGGATTGGTCAAAGACACACAGAACTCTTACGGAGGAGGTCACTGTTTAGTTTACGCATATTATGTACCGTTACGTAAGAATGTTTCACAATAAAAGTCTAATACCAACTGCTCAGCTGAAAGGGTTTTTCATATAAAACAGAGGGAGGAGACGTGATGATGCATTGAGAGCAGACAGGCTTTTAATGATAAATGTGAAAAATGAAATACACTGACTGTTAACCGGATAAAAGATGAAAACCTTTATTCATGAGAAACCTGTCTCAAGTAAAAGCCTGGTTATCTGGTTAAAGCTGTGTGTGTTGTAAGCATGTACAGAGGAGGAGATACCTGATTGTCAGAAAGCCAGAGAGCTGCCAGGTCCTTCAGCTTAGTAAAGGTAAACGGTAGATTCTTCAACCTGAGAGAGAGAGAGAGAGAGAGAGAAATAAAAGAGATGTTTCTTATGCCCACGCACTGTACAGCCTGCAGAGCACGTAACCATGGCAACACACTCACCCATTCCCATGGCAACTGCAGGTCGTGAGAGCAGCTGCAGAACCGGAGCGGCCATTGAGAAAGTGTTGCCTGCATGTGTGTGTGTGTGTGTGTGCGCATCTATTGTCACTACTGAGTCATAGTGTTGGTCATCTGCCTGTGTGTGTGTGTGTGTGTGTGTGTGTGTGTGTGTGTGTGTGTGTGT